CGGTTCACCAACAAATCGGTATTTAGGTTCTAGGCCAAGCACCAGCCAACTGAATATCCTTGAACTTGAAGGAGAAGCCTTGAAGCCCTAACCTGGAAAGATCAAACCTAGCAAAACAAGCAATCAAAACTTGGTCTGTCTTGAAGCATGGAACGTGTACCGACAACCACCCAGGACCAAGGGACGACAACACTGTGCATTTTGACTTGACTACAAAACCTCAAACATCCTCAAAGATGTTGAAGCCTGCTGGAAGTTCAGGCCAAAGGAACAGTCAGTATTTCAAACACTCATAAAGCTGAGCCCCCTGCGATTGCGCTGGCATGTTGCCGGGAGGCCGCGGGGCCGGCGGTGCACCTGGAACAAAACAAAAGCAACTCCCAGAACCTATTTGGCCTACATTGGAGCGCTGAGTGGGTTTGTGTCGGAGTTGAAAGATGTGAAGTTCGGCTGGGGACAAGGCTTGGTGCCGCAGAGTTTGACATGGCTCGGGATGCTAAAGTTCAGGGCGGCTTGGAATGTCTGTTGGAAAATGCTATCAGTCGTGTTTTCACAGCGGGCCGGGCGGGCCCTGTTCCGTGGTATTTAGTCATGTCTTTCTGGCGAGAGTCACCAGTTGAGGTCCCAAGTGCTAATGCAATAGTCTGGAACTTTTCCAAAGCACAAAGGAGGCTACTGTCAGCCTGCTCGTGAGTATGCACTAGAGCTGAAGAGTTCGCCTACCCCAGACCCAGCCTTATTTTACAAGACACGAACAGCTGCTCAGCTCGTCTGTGGATCTTCCTTGACGCCCCTAGCAAAGTCATGAGGGCATGGGGAAGAAGGGGGGTGAGTTTGCGAGGGCGTCCGCTGAACGCACGCTTAATGCGCGGCATGTTGAAGTACAGAAGCTGAGATAACAGTAGAATATGCAAATACAATTTGATTTCGACGCCGAAGCTGGCAGGCAGCTGATTGCGTTCTCGCAGGAGTGTCTCAAGTGTCCTCTGGCAGGGGCCCTCTTAGGAGTCCTTGTGGAGGTGAGGGGAGGGTGAAAGCTTTATATGGCCTGCAGGAGGGCAAAGGGCGGCTCACCGTTGATATGATGTTGACATATAAGTTTTTAAGGGCCACCTGGGCCCTCCCCCCGCACAACCCTCAGATGATTGATTTATCAAAGCTTAAGGGCACTTGCTGTGGTTGTGACCCAGGCCAAGTAAATGTGAATGACAACTAGCGCTCAGCTTTAAGGAGCTAAGCTTCGTGGCATCGAATACATCCTAAACCTACATCCCCAATCAAAATCCCACACCTCTAAGAGTTGCCGAAGATCCTGGAGACCAGGACCAAGTTACAAATTCTTCACAAAACCATGCACACAGCCTCCAAAGCGATTCGCCTGAGGCACCTGCATTGAAGGCAGGACTCATCTTTTGAAGTTTAGAAACAAGCTTCGACTTACCACTGCGGTGGGCAGGTTTTCAAAAAGACTGCAAGATGCTCCCGCTAAAGAAGTTGGACTACCCAGTCAAGGCTTATGTTCAACAGCTGGATTTGCATGCAGGAGCTTCCTGAATCGGGAATCAGGCCAGGTTTGCCTAAGAAGTTTGTCCAGCACTGCATGCTACTACAATTGTGAGCTATTGTCGCACCCTGGCCCAAGCTTTCGAAATAGCAACCCCGTCGATCACAAGCTCCAATCTGAGCTTTTGAGAACTAGGGACCTTATCGACCGAGACGCCATGCCTTCTGCAAGTACAAAGTGCCCCTGGCCCTGAAACGCTTTCCAATCCTAAACGGCTTGCCCCCAAGACCTCATATGTTGCTAGTCGACAACTAAGTGGCAGGATAAACAATGTCCAAAGGAATTCTGATGCCCAGGGCTGGCTTTACTTGTCTAATTCGGATATGGTGCCATCAAGAGATTGATTCAAGAGGGGCGGCGTCTCAGGGCCAGACCATACCTGGCGGCGGATACCCAGCTGCCTTGGTTGCCAGCTTCGGGACTGAGAGCTGCAGAGCGAGTTGTCTGAGACATCCTGGGTGTATTGGAAGCTGAAGGCAGGCACACAACTTTGGAAGTACGCCGCAATTTCCATCCGCTACCTTTCAAGCGCCAATTGCCCCATAAAGCGAACCCTGTTGGGTCCCTCCTGAATTCATTTACGGCAACTCCCAAGTCTTTGCTCAGGGCATGACCATGTCGCGCCGGGGCTGGCTGCCCCAGGCCCTTGCAGAGTAATCTGCGTTGGGTAATGCCTTTTGGAATACGAATACCGGGCCTGATGTGGTGAATGGCCACCGAGCTCCGATTGCCACATATTGAGCAGGAAACTTGAGGGCTTCGAGTACAGCTTGGGATGGCGAGGTGCGATCGGGTTTCAGCCCATTTGTGCAAATTTGCTGGCAGTTCTGCAGTCTGTAGCTTGTGAGGAGCTCACAGATTCGACGTGGATGCGACGTCTAACATCTAATTTATAGAGTTCGAAAGACTACTGCCAACATGAAGGTTTTGGTTCTGTGCTTTCACCTGTTCAGCATCGGGTCTTGGAGTCTATTGCAACTCATGGCTACCTCGGTTCTGCATTGGCACTGTGCTTGGGATGAAAGCGCTTGTAAACATGGTCGGGTTTCTTCAAACAAAGCATGCCCTCCCCAGCAGCAATCACTTGAAACTAGCCATTATGCCAGGGGTTTGCGCAGGGCTTGGGTGCCTTGCAGGCGGGATGCACTAGAGGCTCAAGGCACGAAGTTCAGGCGTGGATTGTCCGCGCCACTGTTCCTGCTAGTATTTTGAATTTTGCATGCTCTTGCAAGCAATGCTTCTTGACATTGCAGTAACTGGCCCTATTCTTCATCAAGCTTTGTTGCCTAAGCGACACGCTCTTAGGGTCCTGGCGTCTGCATGGCTCCTGGCACGCCAACTCGCACCCCGGGGGCCCAGGCGGGACCTTGTCAATTTACTTTGACGATTTGTGGTGGATGCTGGAGACTGGCTTTGGGAAACCCAGATGTCCGGTCTTCAGGCAAAGGCTATGTTTTCAGCACACTCTTCAGTCCACGTAGCGTCATCCACTTGCTAAACGCTACAGCAGTAGACTTGGAAATGTGGGAAACCAAATCCAGCATCCTTTAGTCTACGGTCTGAGCTCGATTCAGAATCGCTACATGTACCAATGCTTGAGTTGGCTTTGAGACTTTCGACAAGCGGGGTTAGCTCTGGTTCAATACATCTGCAGCGCAGGAGCAAGGCCGCGAGGTCTCTAAGAATCAGACTCCTGCAAATACAGTCATTCAACTGAAAACCCCAAGACAGAGACAAGTGTCCCATGGGTAAGGTGCGAAGCTTCCAAAGCGACACTGCTTCAAGCAATCCAAGTGCAAAAACCGCTCTCAGCTGCAAGCCCACGCGAAGGGGCTGCCAGCAAGAAGCCGGGCGACAAGCAGCTTTAAGGAAAGTGGTTGTTTACGGCTGAAGGGTTGGGCTTTGCCTTGAAGGCTCAGTCAAAGGTGAGTGATGATGTTCAGAGGAAGGGTTGGGTGGCAGTGGGCTAGAAGGCACTTCGGCCAAGCTTGGACTGAAAGCTCATAGAGGGACGTTCAAAGGGCACCTGTTGTAAGGATCCGGTGAGACTCAGGGTTGTAGCTCTTAAGGCAGCTGCAGAGACTTGGATAGCACATTCGCGTTGCTGTATACAACTTACTGGCATTTCAAATGTACGAAGGACAATTCCTGCAGCCAATGCATTGGGATGGAGCAATCAGCAGTAAAGTCACTGGCGGAGGCGGGAAATCCAGAACAAGTGTGCGGAACAAGTGTGATGACAACTGCATGGCCTGAAAATGATGATGGTCTTCCTCGTGCGTATAAGATTATGGGATTCCAGTTTCATTCCTCAGTTGAGTGCCATTAATCAATGTCTTAAGTCACACACGCCCTATATATAACAACCGGATACATACTGGTGCCGCAAAACATGCCATGCACCCAAAATCTGACAGGAGACAGCACCATCAGCCGGCCAACAGAACTTTCGCAAATCCTACCAAACCTTGCACACAGAGTGCCATATCTGCTTTTCAACCATCCCTTGCAGGAGCAAATTTCACACATCTGCCATGCTTCTTTTGCCTGACATCTTCCACCCCATACGTGACACATATCAAATGAAAGATCCCGGCCACCCATTGTTCAGCTACTCTGATATTTGTGAATATTCACTTCTGATTGCTTTCCTAGTCTGGCATAGGCCTCGCAATCGGTCATGACTCAATGCCTGTTTTGTTCCCGCGAGCCAAGCACTCGTGAAAAGACCGCTTCTTCCGGGCCTGCTTTCTTGCGGGTGCATACGACCTGGAAGCTAAAAAAAAGCTAGAAATCTTGAGAAAAATTCTGGCTCTGGTCGTCCTATCTTGCTACGAGCTTTACAGGCGCTCATAATGATGTCTAAGCCAATCAAACCGGATGTTCTGAAAGCACCTCCTATGTGGAGTTCTTCTGATGCGAAAAGTCAGTCTCCTGCCATGTTATCTAGGAAGTGGAATGGCTCCCAGCAGGTTCCTCTGTTGATGGACTCAGCAAACAAGCCTTGAAATGCAAGGCCCGGCCGTGTGAAGCACAAGTCAGCCGCCCCCGGCCGGCGTTCTGTAAGCATGCCGGACTTCAGAACGGTCAGGATTTGTTGGGTCATTGTCCAGGTTGATACCGCGTAGGCCATACAATGGATCGTTTTGAAGCCAGACCACCTTTTGCTGTGCTGAAGTGAATTAGCTGGTGTCCCTGCAATCTTGGCCTCATGCCACAATCGAGTGCCACGGTGTCATGCTTGTTGAACACAACAAGGGAATCTGGGTTCTACGTGGCACGTCTGAAGCATCATGCATCCGCACACATGCCTTTGACCTTTTCTTGTGACAGCTTGACACCAACCAATGTCTACTTGAAACGAACTGCACATTGAGTGAGAGGGGCCTACTGAAGTGCCCCAGCCTGTGTGCACTCCTGCAGAATGAAGCGGCTTTCAAACAGCCACCTCTAGCGGCTCAGGGGTCGTAGTGGCTGGAGCTGCTGAAGTCCTGGACATTTCTCAGTTCCCTTCTTCAGGGCACTGCTGCCCAGTGGCGTTGATGGATAAATCATGGTTTGGGTGGTTTGGCCTCTTCCCTTGCACTCTTTGCTATGGTCTTTTCCAGGCACTCAAGACATGTTGGTGGAATGCATGTTACGGTGGCCACCAGACTAAGCTCGTACTCACTGCCAGCTCCTGGCTTTGCAGTGAGCATGTTTTCGCATCATTCCAATGTGAATCTTTGGACTGCAGACCCCAAGCTACATAATATTCAGCGGACAAAATTATGTATTCCTACTTTGGACTGCAGACCCCACGCTACGTAATATTCAGCGGACAAAGTTATGTATTCCTACTCTGGACTGCAGACCCCACGCTACGTAATATTCAGCGGACAAAGTTATGTATTCCTACCTTTTGACCTAACCCTTGGGTTGAACACCATCAGTCACCATTACTTTGCAGGGCCCAGGGTCACACTTCTCACATTGCTTGGTTTGCTGCCGCGTGGATCACTATTGGTTGCTCAGAATATTGTTGTTGCCAACTCACGGACTCTCTCCAAACTGGAGATGCGGTGGCCTGCTTTTGTGACCCTGAACCCCCAAGACATTGCATGCAGTCTGACAGGACTTTCTAACCACGGCGGCGAAAACGGGTCTAAACACAGCACAGGCTCCTCTCCGCATCCTTGAAGCCAGGTTCGATGCACTTGCTGTACTTTCCTCAGCACAATGTCAGATGTGGTTTTAATGCAACGCTGCTCCACTTACCACATCAAGATGGCATCGCTGTCACTACCTCTGAACCGTTATCATATCGATAGGCAGGTCAAGGTGAAGGGCCACATGGGCCATGAGCACAAGCTGTCCTTGAACCACCTCCCTTGCCTGCAATCCAAACTTTTTTATACTCCAAGTCCCCACGTCCGCACCTACTGAAGTTTGATGATGAGGATCATGCCTGCCCATATGAGCACCCTCTCTGGTTATCGAAAAAAATGTCCCTGCCACAGCTGTTGCACGCACCCTCAAAAGGTGAAGAATTATGTAAGTCGGATCCTTACGTCGCTCAACCCTGGACTGTGTGCCTTTGGGGCTCCAAGCTCAGATGCTTACCACATCTGAACTAGGCCGCCGGCAATACTGAGATTTGCATATCCCATGCATTTGTTCGGTCTTGACTTACTATGCATCTTGCAAATCTAGGCCAAGGGGGCCCTGTAAAAGTTACCCGGAAAATCAATTTGGCCAAGTTGACCGAGGCAGTTGGCAGTGTAGTTTGTGAGCCAGCACTGTGTGCATTCGATGGGCTCCCACCTGGTGGTGACTTAGCAGCGAAGGAGCACAGCGTGTGTGGACAAAAGAGCGAGTTCAAGAACCTGCGGTCCTCTTCAGACACGAAAGGTTCCGCAACAGTTCAACATGTCATTGCCTTCCTGAAAGAGAGGCCGTCGCTTCCATTTGTAGCTTGCCATCGCGTCAACCGACTATGTTGCTACAAGAAACCCTCAGCTCACGCCACTATGACTACGACCATGACAATCACCAGGACCATCACAAGGATGCCAACCACAAACAACAGCAATAGTCAATAGTGTAAGCAACACTGCGAGCAGCACCAGCACGAGCACCAGCACCAGCACCACCACCTCCACCTCAGCGGCCGCCGGTCATGCTGCAAAGTATCCTCGTCATGAGCAGCAGCAAAAAATCACAATAATCATGATAATAGTAGTCAACGCGACATACCGACGATCATCGTGAACACCATCGCCCCAACCTTACATGTAACAATTCAGAAGAAGACAACATATCAAGCAGAGTATGTCGTAATCGCAAATCAATTCTCATTGCGGTTGACCAGGCGATACAACCCTGAAACCAAACTAAAATTGAGCTTGCTCTCTGTGCTGCGACTAGGATGCCAATGGAGGCACTGTGCCACGCAGGTCGGCCATGTTGTTGCCCAGCAAACAGCACCATCCTTAAGCGACCAAGAGGCTTCAGCACAGTGTCTGCGTTCAAGGTCGATGTTTTGTTCTCCAGTCAGAGGACTACGCCTTTTCTAGTTTCTCCACTTATCACAGAGCCTGGTGTCGCATTCTGCGTCTGTACTGCACCTGCAATTCCAGAACAGGGATCTGGCGCGATTTGGGATGTCCCCAAAACAGCCTTTCAATTGTCATCTCAGGAACTGGACCCGGAATAAGATCCAGAATGCAGCGCGGCATGCACAAATCCAGCATGAGCCCTTCATGGTCACTACAGAAATCAGCAGTGGGGGCCGCATTGGTAAAGTAGAAGCAGATGCGTCCCTAGCTCACGGCAGGTGTTTAAAGCCGCTCACAAGCTTCAGGGTGTGGAGTTCAGCAGAATTGGCGCTTGGAACTCCAAAAAGATTACAACAGTTGCTGGGCATTCTGGCGCTGAAGCTGCAGCAAACTATGAGCCTGCATTGCATAGCTGGAGCTGCAACAAGACGCTACAATTGCAAAGCTTGGTATGATAGGCACTGGGGCTGAGGAGCATCGCGTCAAGTAGGGTCGCTTTGGCCTTGTAGGAGGTGGTGCGAAAGCTAACCAAGATTCAGTGATGCAGTTGTGGCAGATCGACACCTTGTCCTCGCGCATCGTCACAAGAAACACAACTGAGTCCATAATTACGTTCTTCTACCATGATTTCCAGAATTTTAGCCGCAGATCAAGATACTGTCAATCTGAGAGAGGTAGAGGGTTCGGCGACTTGAAGAAAAACGCGGATAAGCTCTCGATTCTGAATTTTGTGCACCAAAACCAATGTCGGGAAAACACACCCGTCCAATTCCTGTCACGAAGCCCATCCGCAATCCAAAGATTCCACAAAACAACACCCCTTGTTTCCAGCATACCCCTGATATCCCGTGATCAACTGCTGCCTCAAGACCTGAGTGCCAGCTGTCTCAAGTCACAACGACTGCTCCTCTGGCTGTGCTCTGAATCACTAAGTTTCGATCTGTCTCTAGACTACGACATGCTCACATGGCTCTCTGGCTCACGGCGCGGGTTTTTGAGCTTCAAAGTTAACGTGTCGAAGTTCCGAGTTTGCGATGACAAGACCCAGCAAATCTGAGATTGGCGTTGAGGCATTTGAGCATAAGTGCTAAGCGCAAACTCACAATCCCTGCTCGACATACATTCCTCTGCACGAAGCAATCACGTCATCAAGATAGGTTATGATGGGCTGAAACCTTGTTTCACATCCATCAAATCCACTACCCCTCACTGATCAACTTCCGCCGGACTGTCCTGAATTTGGAATAGAAGGGCGGAACCCTGGTAGAAATCATCACCACTGCTGAATGTACTAGACTTTTCTTCCTTCTGGTGAGATTCGTCAAGATGTAACCCTTCCAGTGAACATGGAAAGTCACTAAGAAATTCGGCAACAAGTCAAATGTACCGCCCCAATGACTTCAAACAGAGAATCTCGGACTTGAGGTCCAGCAGCTCTACACATTTACATCTTAAGCAGACGTGCCCGTTGTCACGGCTCCTGCGGGCACAGAGACTTGGCCTCCTGCATGGAAAGGTCAAAGTGTGGCGGGAGAGAAGTATTCCAGCATCACTTGGTTAGCTAGATGAATATGTCCAAGTACATTTTTACATGACCTTTTCACGGCAGAAGTCTGAAACATTGCAGGCTCAGGGGTGCGGCCCATGTCTTACATGTTGCCGGGCTTGGGCACGTGAGCGTTGGGTTGCATGCCTTACTTGGATGTTAGTTGTTGGTCGCAGTGTGGCAGCAGCAGTAGCTGCTTCTGAAACAATTGCAAATGGGGGCTGCTTGCGAGCATGTAATTAAGCTGCACCCTGCACCGCAACATGTGTGATGCCATGTAAAATCGCCTTAGTCCCGAAACTGTGGAAACTTCACGGCCTGAGTGCGTACCTCTCGGCCCCCCGGGAAAGTCCTCCGTGCACTGTGAGGTCATGCATTTTGCACACGCTGCGCCAACCTCCATGTCGGTGATGTTGAAGTGTTTGCCTCAGGCCAATGCAGCCCAATACCGCAGCAAAGAAATCATGCAAGGTGCTGCAAAAAGAAATAAGGCAAAGTAGAATGTGCCACACCCGTAGGTCTCCTGCATCCGAAATTAACGACCTCACCGTGAAATGTGATGCAAAGACTGAAGCCGATCCAAGAACCCCAAGTTGCGGAATGCTCCAACCATGTGTAAGTAAAGCCATCACCTTTGCGCGCACGCTGCTTGCATCACCTAACGTCAGAACTGCTTGACCTTGACACCTGGCCTGACCTTTCACAACAAGATGTACCACTGGAAAGCCCCTGAGCTGAGCTATTAGATGGCACGGGTTTTTCTAAAGCCTCGGATACTGTCTGCCAAGGCCAATCGGGCATATCTCACAAGCCTGTGCGTTCATCTGACAGCTTGGTGGGAACCCATGTGAAACCATGAATGGCACAAACGTTTCTGAAACTGAAAGCCCTGCGACACGTCTCCTGACAATCCGCTTTGCACAGGCAGAGGAGGTCGTTCTTGGCACACGCCGCCTATCAAATGCTACCCTCACCCTTGCACGTCCAATTTACCTTGGGCTTCAGGGCTTGCTTCAACACTCACATGTAGTATCAAGTACAATGTCACAGAACTTGAGAGCAGCGCGCACGAAAGCTAGACTACAGCAGCTGAGGCAGGATTTTTTCTTGTGAGGAGAAATGTGAATGCTTTGTATATACATCTGTGACCGTCTCACACTGTCCGCTTTGCTTGCCAAAGTTTGCAACACTGTCATGCCGTCCTCTCTGATTGCCCGAAAAGCACTCTAAAACTGTTTGGAACATTGCACGTTAGTCTCTCTATGCACAGGCAAGCAAATGCGTTAGCATAAACTCAAA